ATTATTAATCACACATTAGAAATGTTTGAACATTTGGTTCTTCAGGTTGCTGATGAACCAACAACATCTCCTCTTCTGTGGAGGTAATCCTCTGACTGTGCACACAGAGCTGACACTAACTGAACCTGGAGCTCTGAGGTTGTTGCCCTGAAGTGCACACAGGCAATTAAAATATGTAAAAGCTCATTCTGTCAAACACTGCAGCGCAATCTTGAGTGTGACCTCTGTGCTTGTGACATAATGTGACCCAGTGCAGAATGAGCGTGTGTCAGATGTTCAGTCAGCAGCAGCGTGACCCACAGTCCCATTAACACACGAGAGGGATGTGCAAATAGTTTTATTGGTGGATCGACAGCTGAAGGGTATTTGATGAATACACTCAGTGGCAGAAGAATCATTTGACGAGCATAGTAGATATATTCAGAATTATTCTCAAGAGTCTGATTCTTTAAATCGTGGAAAATCCTCAACGTAAGAAAATATGGTTCAAAAATCCTCAACCACACAAACAGAAGCAAAGAGAATCAACTCAAACAATCAGAAACGTACGTTAAATTAAATCTACACACACACACTCACCACAAATAACATCAAACCATCGTGTGTATATTTTGTAAAAGGCCTTTTAATGAAACAGAATATACTTGGTTCCACTAAGAGATCATGGAATGTGTTGTTAGAGGCGTCTACGCTTGGATTGGTGCTAAGTGGCGGTTGCTAGGGTTCAGTCGGTTCATGACGACGCGCGGGGGGAAATGCAGGCGAGGGCGTGGAACCACGACGTCTCCACTGTGACTGTGCTAAGACACAAGAACACGACTCGTCTCTAAAGCCTCTACCTGTCATGCAGGCGTCTCCTAAGAAGCAAGTAGAAAAACACCGGGGAGTCTGAACGGTGACCCGTCCGGACGGTTACATTCCACATGTCAACGTCTAAAATAACAGTAAGAAAAAGATTGCATTGATTAGGCAGGTTTCACTACGATAAATCGAGAAAAGTCGGAAATATTACGCTTGTTGTTCCGGCCGCTGCAGCTTCAGTAACGTCGCCTTAAACGAGAGCTGGCTCTTCACAACATTTCTACCTTTTTTTAATTGAAATTTTTTTTTTTTTTAAACGACATTCAACGATATTCACGCTCCGCTTGTGAGGAGAATCTAGCCGAGCCCTGACGAGACACGATTATTTTCCAGCGTAGAGGAAGCAGCTACAACAGCAACACGAAGATGAAGAGCAGAGTTACACACTTAATCCCTCCCGTCGAAGCTCCTACGTCCTTTTCTTAAACCGACACAATAAAGTTGTGCGGCGGTAAACAAGACATGGCAGAGGTCGAGAACTATCCGTAATAATCTACGAGTGTTTTTATATATAGTTTCATTTCATCCAAATGTTGAAGCTAACTTAAAGGCAAAAGGCAGGAGAAGCCGTTCATGAGTGTTTCATTCTAATCAATGGTGTACGAGGAATAAATGCTATTTTATTTTTATTGTCCTATTGGTCCAAATAAACTCTCCACCCTTTGTCGCTGAATCATAAATAGCTTTTCTTTGTGTCGTCTTTAAATAAGTCAAAGGACATTGGAAAAACCACACACAGGTCATAATCTAAATATCTTCAAATACATTCTCTCCTCCTCCCCGCCCCTCCCCCCTCAGTGCCGAGCCTCGACGGCTTCGTTCTGCCGCTCCTCGGCCATCTGCACCAACTCGTTGACGGTGTGCAGCAGGCTGTAGCCGTGCTTCCTCAGCAGCCGCTGGTTGAGCCGATGGTCTCTGAAGCCCATCTCCAGCAGCATGGCCATCATGGAGGGGTCCTGCCTGGTGGCCGGGTCGATGCCTCGCTGGAGGTGAGCGAGAGAGAAGGTAGATTAACGGAAAGAAGGTGATGAATGTTGCTGTGGCTGCATCTGTAGCTTGGTGCCGAGCAGCTTTTTAAATGCTTTGGTTATGAAATTTCCACAGAGCAGAGACGGGTCATCATTCTTTCTGAGCTCGTCCCTACGAGACACGTCTTTGACATTACCTGGAAATGTCTCACTATTGATTTTAGCCAAATATTTCACACATTTATCACAAAACGCTGCTCGAACTCATTTGAAAATGTATTTATGTTCGGATGCACAAAGATCCTAAGACAGTTGTGATGTGACACCTGTGATGTACCTGTATTGGGCAGTTTGGTCCAGTGAAGAGAGCCTTATAAGCGGACGCTGCCACAGACAGGGCCCCCTTGACAAGTCCCTCAGTGATGCCTCCTTGGCCCCTGTTGCACAGACAGAGACGTGTTCAGGTTGTTTAACATTTTAATGCTTTCGCACTTTCTATTTTATGTTTTTAAATTCCTTGGTGGATATTTCTACGTTCTGTGTAAAGAAATCTGACTTTGCACCTTGGCTGCAGTGCGTTGCTGGGTCTGGGGTTGTAGGTCTCGAAGGCACTGGAGGCTGAGCCTGCTGATCGGGACAGACCGGACGACACTGCAGAGCGGAGGAGGATATAACAAACGCACACGATATTAGAGCCTGACTTCCTGTCTTCAAAACAAAGCTCACGCTGCGTTTCCCTTCTCGTCCTGAGCAGAGCCAAGGACTCACCGTTTAAATGGACCCTTGGCTGGCGCGGCTCGTACGGGTCACAGGCCGGAGGACTGGGGTCCTCGGCCAGGTACAGTGCCTCGGACCTGAAACAGGAAACGACCAACAGTTACAAACACATTGAGGGTGAGGAAGGTAGAGAAAAATGAGGTTTTATTGAAAATCCGTGGCCTCTACATGAATACAGTACTGAATACTGGGGAGAAGTGGACACTGTCCATTTAAGTAAGATGTTATCATCATGTTGTTTGAGATGTGTATGTGATAAAACACTTCTGAGTAACTGAGGCACATTTGGCTGAGCCGCCATCTAACCTGGGTGAGTAGAGAGCCGGCGGGGACAGCAGGGAGTCGACCAGAATCGGCGGCGGTGGCACCACTTCAGGGGTGAGTGTCACAGCGTCCAGAGTCTGAGAAGCACAGAGCATCTGGTTTACGCTGCTGTGGATCAGAGGGACGGGTGGGAGCCAGACATTCACCGACAAATCCTCAGCGGCGACCACCTCCGACCTCTCCTGCTTTGTGCTCGGCGGCGCCGTCCTGCCCGGCTCGCAGTCAGAGTCGTCGTCTTTCGGCTGCTGAACGTCTGGAGCCTCTGAGGTCTCGGCGGCGGCAGCAGCAGCGATGTCAGGTTGGGACATGGCAGAACTGTACATGGACTCCCCCAGAGGACGGGTGGTGTCAAAGCAGTCGGGGAGGACGATGATGTAATCGTCGCAGGAGGAGACTGAGGAGGTCTGGCTGCTGACCTGACGCACAGAAAGCGACAGTCATAGACGTCATCACAGGAGAATGACGACACGAACTCCTCGTATCACATCACAGTGAAAACATTCTCATCTACATCGCAGATATTTATGATTCCATTTCTTCATCAGAGTTAGTGTGAGTATTAAAAGGCTCCATCCTCACCTCATCCCAGTCTTCTCCTTTGGCTGCACCCTCGTCTTTCTCCTCTTGAGTAACCTTCATGACTTGCATCTCATCCAAAACCACAACTTCTTCATCCTCCGTATCACGAAGTGAACTGATGTGCACGTTTTCAGTCACTGGTTCCAGGAGAAGAACTTTGAGAAAACAAATATGAGCATTGAAATATTGCAGGTGGAGCTGGGATCACAAATAAATGATAAAAAGATGCGCTACTTGTGTATTCGAGAGGAAAATTGAAATCTTGAGTCGTCCTCTGACCTGGCCTCGTCTCTTCTTCTTGGCTGATCTGGTTGAGGCCTGTGTCCGGAGGCGGAGCTGAACTCTCAAGTCTCAGAGCACAGAGCTCCGTGTTTCCTTCTTGTGCCTTCTCCATCTTCTCGGCCTCCGCTGCTCTCTCAAAGCAAAAGCTTGTGCCGCGGGAAACAACTGAAATATTTGACAGAAGAAAAAAAATTAGCCGAGCAAAGTTGAAACTTGTTGGTAATTGTGGAGATAGTTTGGAATAACGTCGTGTGATTGAGTCTCCTCACTCTGTGGCTTGTGGCTGCTCTGATGAAGCCGGCGCAGGGGTCTGTGGTCGGGGGCTTCCTCCAAGGTGAGGGAGCGGATGACGGTCTCACACAGGAACTGGGCTCCGCTGATCTCCTCCTCCTTCTCGTCCTCCTGGGTCACGGTCTCTGACATCTCCCTCTGCTGCCTCAGCTTCACTCCTGGTCAACACAGAACAAACTTTACTCTGAAGACACTGCTACGTTTTTCACTTTAGGGACAGAGGAACTTTTTAAAATCTAACTGCATCTCCTCGTCCGTCAGTTTGTGACGTGTGTATCTTACCAAAAAGTTTTCGGACCCCTGTGACCTCTGTGTCTTCTTTTATTTGTGAAGTTATGGCCTTCTCCAGAAGTGGTGGATCGTGGGGCAGAGGTGATATACAGGGCGTCAGATCTACAAGTCAGGCGAAGGAAACACAACAGAGTCACTGTACTTGTGTTTTCGTTTAAAGTGAAGTGAAGCAACTTTGGAAAATAGGTAATTTTTACATGTTTATCAAGAATTTATGTTTCTTACCAACAGGAGTGTTATTAGGAACTTTCTCCAACTCTTGAACTATATTTATATCCAACAACTCAAATGAGAGAAGATCCTAAAAGAAGAGCAGACGCAGTATTAAAAACTGTTTTTCCTTTTTTTTTCTTCCAGTAGCTTGGTTTTATCATTGAGTTGAGGTTGAAGCAAGACACATCAAGTATTCTGACCTTAGTGGCATTATGTTAAAATACATCTTAGTCACATTGTGACATCATATTGGAGTTTTCACAGCATTTTGTGAGATCGACATACGACCGACTAGCTTTTGCAAAATCAGGACGAAAACACCCAAAATGGTAAAAGAAACTATTTCAGGTTGGGGTTTTAAAACACGAGTCATAAACAGAATCTGCTCTGTTACATGTTAACAGGAATATGAAGAAGTATTCAATTAGCAACTTAAGTGAACATCCTAATCTAAATAATGTTCTAATGAGGTCAAGAGTCAGAATCATAATGTCCATGTAAACAGAGTCAGGGACTAAAGGAGCATCGAGACGTGGTTTTGTGGCTGATGAATGACGGAGCTCTGAGTGTGCACCTGTGCAGTCAGCAGGTCGACTGAGGGGAAGTAGAAATCGTCGTGATGGAACTCGTCACACCTCAGCTCCATCTCCTTCTCCACTGTCCTCACCTCCTCCTTCTGAAGCACAAACCAACGACATCGTTGAGGCTTCAACCAACAATTACACGGACACAATAACATCATCACGGCAGCCGTGCAGGGTGTCGTCGGTTCGCAGACTTGCCAGTCTTTTGCTCTGTTGTCCGAGTGTGCTGCGGCTGTTGCCGGGGTCGACCACGATGCTGCACCACACGCGCGGGCCGAACTGACACCCGCAGTGCGCCAGCCGCCAGTGGGAGGTGTACGTCCCCTCCATCACGGGAGCGACAAAGGCCACGCTGACCACCCCCACCTGGCCGGGGAGCAGCAAGGGGACCGGCACCTCCCTCTTCTTCTCTGACGCCAGGTCGAGGTTTCCCCACATGAACACTAGCTGAGTGCACGCACACACACACACGCACACAGAGAACACAAAATAGAAATATACACATGCGAAAAGGCACAGGGACAACAGCATGCAACAGAAGTTACACAACAGAAAACATGGACACGGTGAAGTGAGGGACACGCACACACTCTCGTGCACACACGCGCTCACACGCACTCG